CACGCCACCCCACGCCGGGCTGCCAGGAGCCCAGCAGAGAGGGGAGCCCAGGCTCTCGGCCCCCGCCGCTGAACCGCACTTTTCCAGCAGGTCGGGCTGCTTCCAAGATTGCAGAATTTTCCACGTTTGCTCAGTTGAAGGGAAAAAACCAAACAAACAAAAAAACCAACCCCAAACCAAAATCCAGAGAAGAGAGAGCGAGCAGCGCCGGGCTGGCAGGCGGGAGCCCTTGCACTGGGGTCACCAGTATTCCCAATTTACTGGTCAATGCAGAGCCACCCCCACAAGCTGCCCGGAGCCCCACAAGACGCCGTGTCTCCCCGGACACAGCCTGGAGCTCTTTAAGGCTTCGAAGAGCAGGGCTGGGCTCGGTGCCTCTGGCCTTCGGGATCTCCAAAGGTTCCCCCGTTGCATCTCCATAACACAACGTCCAGAGGTCCACCTCTGGACCCCCAAGAGATGGTGCCAAGCTGCTGGAGCGGGTCAAGCCCCCCGATGCAGCTGCGTGGGCTGGCAGACACAGCAGTAGTTGGGATGGCTGTGCCACGGTGGGGATTTTGGTTGCCAGCCCCCAGGGAGCCCGACGCCACGGGGGCCCAGCACGTGTAGGGGTGACAGGACCCTTCCCCACCTCTGCCCAGCGTGTGAGCACCAGGGCCATGGAGTGACACAGGGCAGAGAAGATCCCCAGTGTCCCCAGCAGAAGGCAATTGGTTTCTCCTGCTCAGTGCTTCCAGTGGGACCAGCACTCCAGCCCCACTGGTGGCCACCCTGGCCATGCTGCCACCCCTGCAGCTCACCGCCAGAGAGATGTGCTGCAAACCCAGCCCGGCTTCCCTCGGGGTGGTGCAGGACCATCTCTGGCCTCCTCCCTCCTCCCCAGGGACCTGTCTGCACCACCCCAAGCAGGCCAGCAGCCCGGCTACCACCGCAGCCCCCGCCGGGGTCCAGAATCCCATCCCGAGCTGACACCTCCCCGGCGCAGCCATTCCAGTTGGTTTTGTTTTTTTTTTTTTTTCAGAAAGAGGTGCCTCAGCACAGCTGGGCCGCGCGGTTCCTGAAGTGGTTCCCCGCTGGCCTGTGCCGATCTGGTTCTTTTGTGTCTAAATCTTCTGGGTTGCACGGGGAGGCTGGAGAGCGGGAGGTGGAGCAAAGCGCTGCTGGGCTCAGTATTACAACACCTAAGCCCTTTTATGAAGCCTCATACTCCCGCTGCGGCCCAGCAGATTGAAATGATTGTTTATAAGCAGCAAAGTTCAGAGTCCAAAGCTCAGATCTCTTCAAGGCACTTCAGAGGGGTTTGGTTTGGTGGTGGTTTTTTTTTTTTTTTTTTTTTGCAACCAAAAGCAAAGCAGCAACTGGCTGGGAAGCGTTGAGGAGATGAGAACATGCCATCACCCCTGTTGTTTTGTTTCTGTCCGATGCTGGGCTGGTTGGAGCAGGTCCCTGACAGCTGATTCCCTACATAACGGGGCGCCGAAGGCTGCAGATCCCCCTTCTCCCCACACCCCCCCTTCTCCCCACACCCCCCGAGCACGTGGTGTTTTGTTCTCCTCGGTCCCACAACGCGGGCGAGCAAGGGCTGACTCAGCAGCTGACACGTGAGCCCAGAGCCCAGAGCGGGCTCCGAGCCACGGGCAAGGGGCCAGCGGCAGCACTCGCCCCGTGAGCGAGAAGGATGGGGCTGGTGTCGCTT